TTCAATAATAAATATTAAACAAAAAATTTTTTCCTTTTGACTTTGCTCAGGGCCAACCCTTTAAGAGAGTTATAAGCAGCTGAAGAGAGGTCTAGACCCGAAATGCATTCTGCAAAATAACAATTCCAAGTGTTTATCACTGTACTCTCTCAGATGCTTTCTTGTGTGATAAGTTTTAATTTTATCAAGTTATATAATTTAAGAAGTAAATTTAATGAAGATGATTCATTGATTCATAAAAAAAAATTTAAAAACAAAAAAAAATGGTTGAGAAACATAGAATGAACATTTGAAATAATTAATCAGTGAAAAGAGGAAATAGCAACAACTGTATTTACAAAATAAGGACATACATTTAGGATATAAAAAAGTTAGAACAGTAACAATTTAGAAAGATAAGTTGGATTAATTTTTATGAAATCATTAGAATGGGACAGTACACATCCACAAAGTGAAGTGTATTATGAAGATTGCAATTTTATTAAAATTAAAGATCAAAAAGAAATAACTAGGTATTTTCCAGGAAACTTTTCTATTCCATCTCTATTTCTTTCCCAAAGTTCCTGTAGACTCTGCCTATTCCTTCTGTAAACTGCTAATAAATACAAAACACCTATAAAGGTCTTTGTTCTTTAGAATTAAGCATAGAATTGCTATGGAGAATTTATCATACAGGAACACTTTTATCAATGGAAAAAGTGTTCCTGTATGATAAATTCTCCATAGCAATTCTGTGCTTAATTCCAAAGAACAAAAGAGAGAACAAGAAGAAATGACACAACTATAAAGGTCCTTACTTCTATTATAAGGTGCTCCACAAAAGTATAGAACCGCTCAAAAAATTGGTCTTTTGAGGTCAGAACATTCACTAATAGATAGAAATAGATTTCTTTTACGCGTAATTCAGCATCTAACTTATAAAAACATAATTTTAGGAAACTAATTTTAGAAATAGATATGAAGTCAATTTATATACTGCCACATAAGTATAGAATAGCCATATTTCTTGCAAGTTTTAAAAGTATTTCTTTATCATGCATTGTGGTACCCATTCAACAGATTTTGAGAAAGGACAAATTGTAGCTTTGAGAAGCACCAGTTTAAGTCATCAGGCAGTAGCGAACAGCGTCAAGTGTTCGAAAAAGGTAGTTCAGCATTATTTGTCAAATCCTGCAAATTATGGACCAAAATGTAGAAATTGATGTTTTTCAAAGCTTACCCTGTGAGACCACAGACAAATTATTAATGCAGTCTCTAATTCTACTGCATTTACGTGTAAAATTTGGAACTATTTGGGTATTCAAGTACATCATGAAACCACTCAAAGAGTTTTACACAGCAACAACATTGTTCGGTCTCAAATGAGAAGTGCCTCTGCTCTTAAACCTGAGCACAAAGCTGCCTGGCTCAATTTTGCTAGGAAAAATATGGCCACTCAATGGAATAATATAAGTTTTTGTTTTGTTTAGATCTATCTTGCTAATATGAGATAAGAAATAACAATCTTTTTGTCATATAGGTAATCTTTTGGTACCAAAAACAAATTTAACTTGGATGGGCCAGATGATTTAGCATTCTATTGGTGTGATTTATGAAAAGAGCCCAAGTACTTTTTGCGAAGAAACTTCAGTGGTGGAAGTGTTATGGTTTGGGGTGTTTCTTCTTCATTGGGAAAATTGGATTTGGCATTTGTTACTTGTCTCTGACTATCAAATTCTGGAGAACAAATTGCTGCCATAAAAACGTAGATTCAGAAGAATTCTTGTTATTTTCCAACAGTACATGCATCTAACCATGCATCACAAGATACGAAACAGTGGTTTGAAAATAAATGGATTAGCCAGTTCGTTCTCCTGATTGCAACTATATAGAAAACGTGTGGCAGATTGACTGAATTTATGACCAAAATTGTCAGTATGCTGACGTTGAACACTTAAAGCAAGCAATTGATTGTTTTAAGTGTTCAATGTAAGCACTTAAAACAGCTGCTTGGAACTCCCTTGAGGCATTGATCTTAAAAAACCTTGCTAATAGCATGCCAAAATGCATTTTTGATGTTATTAGTAAAGGAGGTGCACAAATAAACTACTAAATTAAACTATTTTGTAGTATTTAATGCTTTTTGCATTCATTTACTAGTCAATTCTATAATTTTGTGATGCTTAAAATCAGTTTTTCACAATTTCTGCTGTTTGCTGCGATATAGGAAACTATGAGTTTTGACAAATTATGTTTTTATAAATCCTGAATAATATAAGAAAGGTAGCTACATCATATGTGTAATTCCTAACCTTCATATAGTAAATTTGCAGTAGTTCTATACTTTTGTGGAGCATCTTATTAGTATTCTTTATATCTCTTTCTCAAGAAAATTTGTCTTTTATGCTGTCTATGTGCTGATTGGTATATCTAACCTTAATTTTCAAGATATTATCAGTAAATAAATTATTCCAACACTTTACTGCAGTTTTTGCCAGCTTAGCATTTCCTATAATTCCAGGAAGATGAAGGGGTAGAAGTAGGTTATGAGGTCTCCTTACTCTTCCCAGCAGTGGCTTATCACACCATTTGGTAATTTTATCCTTTCTGAAAAAATTAGTACCTAAAATTGAATCCTTCTCTTTGTCAGTCTCTTCACTGTCTTGCTTAGTTTCAGAATAATCTTCATATTTTTCAACCTAATTTTCTGATGCAATATCACTATCTTCTTCCAAATCTTCATTCAAGTTATCATCATTTCCTTCTAAATAATTTATTATTTCTAAAGGCTTTGTTATTTTTAAATTTATTATTTTAGGCTTGGTTAGTGTGAGATATAAAAGGGTTTTTGTTAGCATACTAAGACAAACATCCAAGAAAAAGAAACATGCACAGTAGATGTTAAAAACGCAATTTATTTTTGCATGATATAACTATGTACAGGTTCAGTAAAGGAAGCTAACTCTAGGATGGTCACTTCAGCAGTAACCCTAAACCAGATCGTTGGCAGAACAATTACAAAAGTAAAATGGCCACATCATACTGAATTGCAATCACAATAATTCAATATTATAAACAACAATAATTATTACAATAATAATTTTCCTAAAACTAACCCTTAATGCTATACTTACTCTAATAAAAGAAAATTGAAAATAGGTAATGAGAAGTAGCAAAGACAGTGGATAGGATAGGAAGGAATATCTGGGTCTTTCTGTTACTGTGAATACCATGTGTGAGCTTCTTAAATGCAAAATACTTGCTTCTATCTTCCTTTCCCTTGGTTCTTGAGAGTTTTCTTGTATATTTTATCCTAAAAGTTTGTTGCACATTCAGACACTTCAAGCTTAAATGCCAGCTCTAACACAATAACTTCAGCTCAGAAATTTCAAAGTTTCCACTTAAATTTATAGTCTCACCTGTCTCTCAGGCAACGACACTGTAATGTCTCTCTCCTTTCATGGTCTTCTCTGTTTGAGCACCACCCAAAAAGTGACCTTCCTTTGCTTCATATGCCCACAGGTAACATCAAATATGATGGTGAATTTTAGGAAGTGGTCCTCACCTCCAAGAAAGAATAATTAAAAAAATTATAAAGTTCTAGATCATGGAAAGAACAAAGAGCAGGGAAGATTGTTAGAAGAACAAGAGGACAAAAACAGACAATAAGGCATACTGCCACATAACTTAGCTTATAAATTTCTTAGCCATTTCAAGTAGAAAACCTGCAACAATATAATAAAGAAATTAATTTCATGTTCAGGTGTAATGTTTCTGACAAGCCAGGAAAAAAGTAGTCATGTTATTATGAATATTGCATGATATACATTATTTATTAATCAAATAAGTAAAATAATTGATTTCAAAGAAGATATTTTGTGAATACCTTAAGTAGTTATGCACAGCCAGGAGCAATGTGCCTAGCACTTTGACAACTTTAGCCACTGAAGAAGGTAGCTACTTAATGGCAGAACTAGCTCTGTCCATGAGAAGCAAGGGTATGAAATAAAATGAAGAAGGGAAGTGTGTGCCTTTTAGATCAGTTGTGTCTGATTGAAGGTTAAAATATTCATATCTGTGCCCAGCATTCTATCAACTCCAACAATCAGTTAAACGTGTGCAAACACAGGTTGTGCATGTTAAATGCCTGTTATAAAAATTTTTAAAAATTATCATAGAGATCAATGTAAATTGACAGCAGTTGGAAATTAAATTGACATGTGAGAGTGCAACCAGCTTAAAACCAGCAGTCAGCCCATAGACTTTACATAGTAAACTTTGACTTCAAATATCTCACCCAATAGATCAAATTTCAAAATTTCAGCTTTTTACATCAGCCTTGCTAAGTTGTACAGTACATATTTGGAAAAATTGTGTTTAGTAGTCATGTGGTTGCTTTAAATTCACAATTTGCAATTGGCCCACAGACTTTACATTGTAAACTTTGAACTTGAGTATCTCAGCCCATAGATTGAATTCTGAAATTCTGGTTTTGCCACATCAGTGTTGTATATAATTGCAAAAAAATTATGTTTAGTGGTTGTGGTTGCCTTACACTTCAGTCACAAATAAAACACTTTGTCTTATGAAGAGTTTTGCTTATGCTCTGCTCAAATATCATAATTAAAGAATGAAGGAAAAACTATTCTAAATTGTAGTATAACCTAGGATTTCAAAAAGAAAAAGAAAGTACTACTGTTACAATTATAGATAATCTACAATCATTGAGGAATTGAACTGCATATCACAAAAACACAAGAAATTGGAAAAGTTATGGCATAAATTAAGTATATAGTTTATTATTTTAGAAATTAACATAATTGTTAATTATTTAAATTATTTTTTATTTTTATTTTTTATTTTTAATAATAATAATTAAAACAATAAAATTTTTCAGTTTTATTATAATTTAATCAATCATGTTGAAGTTTGTTTTTATATGTAACATATGAAAAACTAAAATTTAATTATTGCATATTCTTATAATATATATGCTAATCTTTTTTACTTCTTTAGGTTCAATTATTTTAGACACATTTTGTTTCAACAAAGCTGCTCAAATTGCTACTTCTAAAGACAGAGATATTGCAGAAAAACTGGAAGTATTCTTAGATGGTGTCAGTAAAGAAGAAGTATTTGAAGTTTTACATTCTGCAAAATATGACCAATCATGTAAAATTATAAAGTAATACTATATTATTTTTAATACTTTTCATTCTTTTAATATATTTCTTTAATTTTAAAATACAGCTCTCACTGCAGAAGATATACTTCGAAAAGATTTGAAAAATATTTTACATGATAACATCAAAATAGGAATAAGTGCTGTTCCTTCTCTTTTAAGTGTAATTATATGATTTATTTTTAAATAAATATTTTTCAATATATAGTTTATTACTACTATAATTTCCAACTCATGAAAACAACTCATGAATTATCTATATTTAAGTCAATTTGAAAGCAGGTTATGTGCTTATTCTAATTTGTAATTACAAAAATCATAAACAGTTTTTTTCTTTGTCTAAACTTGAATGTCTTTAACCTCTTCTCAGTCTAATATTTTTTAGGATGACCATCCAAAAAAAATTATTATTGTTATTTGATATATAATTAATTTTTATGGAGAAATATGCAAAAATTAGCTCTTGCCTGTGTTTTTTTAAATAANGAAATAGATTAATCCATTTTATATTGTTTCTTATGGAAAAATTTGTTTTGGTTTTAGAACAAATTGGTTTTCAAATAACTTTTAGGAATGGATTATGTTCAAAAACCAAGATTTGACTGTAATTTTAATTATTTATTTACTGATTATTAATAATGTTAATAAATAAAATAATTTTGATTATTCATTTAAAAGGAAAACTACCAAAAACAATTTACATACTGCTGTCAATAGATGCTGTCAGATTCTGAAAATAAACTACATTTTTAAAAACATGAAAAATCCTTTCTCCATTTAGTTAGTATAAAAGTTAATTTAACTTGTTCATCAGAATATTATATTGAGCATTAGTCACAGTTTGATCCTTTTCCTGAAAGTACACTAATATAGGGCCATTGACATGCCACTCAAACTAGTCTTCCATTCCAGTGTTCATCACTGATGTTTTGTCTTTTGATTTTAAATCTTTCCACCCATTCATACAGTCTTTCCTGACTCAAACAATTGTCCACATACTGAACTGTCATTCCCCTATAAATTTCAACAGATTTTACTTTCTCTGACCATAAAAAAAAAATGACACTTCGTAGCACCTCCATGGTGCAATTCAACAGTGAAGCATCCATGTTGTATGAGTTATTGTGCAGGTGCATACTGCTTGATCATCACAATCCTTATATGGTGTATTGCTAAGAAGTTATTTTGTGTCCTGCAAAAAGATTTTTCTCAGATTTTTATACATCTCCACAAATTTTAGATTAAAATTCCTAAATTAAAATTAAAATTCCTGTTATATAATGGCTTTCCTACTCATTTACAGAAAGTTGTTTCAGTCCTATAATCAGGATTTAAATTGCTTTCTAGTATCAAAGCTAATGCAATAGTCTTAATTTCATTAAATAAATAAATTAATTAGTTCTTGTTTTTAAAGCCTAACTGTTCAACAATTATATACTTCATTACTTTAAAGATGAATCCATTTTGTTTTCTGTGCAATTCAAATTTCAAATACTTAAATTCTAGAACTATGTTTGCATCTAAATTAAGAATATAATATATTCAAACATGAATTGCTTTTATATGACAATCTATTATAAAATAATTAAAATTAATAAATTTAGAAAAAACACTAGAGATAAACTTTACAATTTGGCCCCTTTTACAATTTGGAATAGGATAATGCAGTCTGAAAACAGCTATAGCTGAGCCAAACTTTATATTCAGCCATTTTCCATCTCAAAATAAAGACAACAGTCAGGAAGATACATTTGCTATAATTTATTGTTTCTTCTTAATTTGTAAATTTTAACTGTAATTATTGTTCTGGTGTTTTAATTTATATTATAGTGCTGAATTTTATTATTTGTATTTTTTGTTATTTTATATTAAACTATTCTGTAATACACTTTAAAACTGATTTTTTTAATTTCAGACATTTAATAAAAAATTTGATTTAGAACTTAGTTTATCAAAGTTCTACAGAGATAATAATTATAGTGTCTTAATAGTAATGAGTTTGAATATTGATAAGAAAACTATGCACATAACAAGAGAAATTGCTGTTTATTCTGAACTACATGATCTTCATACACAAGTAAGTGTTCTAATATTTTAAAAGTCTACTTTTCAAATTCTATCATTAGAAATTTTATTTTTGAATTTACTATTGAATATTTCATTGCGATAACAAAATTATTATNATATTATTTTATTAATACAGTCAAACCTCAGTTTTTAAATGACTCACTTTTCAAACAAACAGTTTACAAACAGAATTTTGAATTCATATTTGCTCCTGTTGCCATATGATATCTTGGTTGCTGAACAAGGTACTCAGCAAGAGCTTGTTCAGCAACCAAGCAAGAGCCACAGATTAAAAAAACACAGATGGTCAATTATCTAAACTTCCTATATTAAGCCAATGATGTAACCAATCAATGACAAAACTATTGATTTAGAAGTTAGTGGTGCCGAGTTCACCTTATATCATTAACTGTCATGACATGAATCATTGATGATGTTGCTATATAAATTAGATTTTAATGTGCATGTGGGAAAGATACTACTACCATTTTTCAGTATGCCCTGCAGTTGAATTTAAATCAAATTAATTAAGAAAAACCTTGTTAATTGACATTCAAGTAATATAATTGGCATCCACGAATTTGATGCTTAAGTCAAATTATAAAACAAGAATTTATTATTATAATATTGTATATTATAATATTAATATTTAATATTTTTAAAAATAATATTACATTGCATTTGTAGGCATTTTTATGCATGAAATACATCTAAAAATTAAAGAAAGTGTTTATTTTGGGGGGTCAGGAATAGATTAATCTATTTTATATTGTTTCATATGGGAAAATTTGTTTTGGTTTTAGAACAAATTGGTTTTCAAATAACTTTTAGGAATGGATTATGTTCAAAAACCAAGATTTGACTGTAATTTTAATTATTTATTTACTGATTATTAATAATGTTAATAAATAAAATAATTTTGATTATTCATTTAAAAGGAAAACTACCAAAAACAATTTACATACTGCTGTCAATAGATGCTGTCAGATTCTGAAAATAAACTACATTTTTAAAAACATGAAAAATCCTTTCTCCATTTAGTTAGTATAAAAGTTAATTTAACTTGTTCATCAGAATATTATATTGAGCATTAGTCACAGTTTGATCCTTTTCCTGAAAGTACACTAATATAGGGCCATTGACATGCCACTCAAACTAGTCTTCCATTCCAGTGTTCATCACTGATGTTTTGTCTTTTGATTTTAAATCTTTCCACCCATTCATACAGTCTTTCCTGACTCAAACAATTGTCCACATACTGAACTGTCATTCCCCTATAAATTTCAACAGATTTTACTTTCTCTGACCATAAAAAAAAAATGACACTTCGTAGCACCTCCATGGTGCAATTCAACAGTGAAGCATCCATGTTGTATGAGTTATTGTGCAGGTGCATACTGCTTGATCATCACAATCCTTATATGGTGTATTGCTAAGAAGTTATTTTGTGTCCTGCAAAAAGATTTTTCTCAGATTTTTATACATCTCCACAAATTTTAGATTAAAATTCCTAAATTAAAATTAAAATTCCTGTTATATAATGGCTTTCCTACTCATTTACAGAAAGTTGTTTCAGTCCTATAATCAGGATTTAAATTGCTTTCTAGTATCAAAGCTAATGCAATAGTCTTAATTTCATTAAATAAATAAATTAATTAGTTCTTGTTTTTAAAGCCTAACTGTTCAACAATTATATACTTCATTACTTTAAAGATGAATCCATTTTGTTTTCTGTGCAATTCAAATTTCAAATACTTAAATTCTAGAACTATGTTTGCATCTAAATTAAGAATATAATATATTCAAACATGAATTGCTTTTATATGACAATCTATTATAAAATAATTAAAATTAATAAATTTAGAAAAAACACTAGAGATAAACTTTACAATTTGGCCCCTTTTACAATTTGGAATAGGATAATGCAGTCTGAAAACAGCTATAGCTGAGCCAAACTTTATATTCAGCCATTTTCCATCTCAAAATAAAGACAACAGTCAGGAAGATACATTTGCTATAATTTATTGTTTCTTCTTAATTTGTAAATTTTAACTGTAATTATTGTTCTGGTGTTTTAATTTATATTATAGTGCTGAATTTTATTATTTGTATTTTTTGTTATTTTATATTAAACTATTCTGTAATACACTTTAAAACTGATTTTTTTAATTTCAGACATTTAATAAAAAATTTGATTTAGAACTTAGTTTATCAAAGTTCTACAGAGATAATAATTATAGTGTCTTAATAGTAATGAGTTTGAATATTGATAAGAAAACTATGCACATAACAAGAGAAATTGCTGTTTATTCTGAACTACATGATCTTCATACACAAGTAAGTGTTCTAATATTTTAAAAGTCTACTTTTCAAATTCTATCATTAGAAATTTTATTTTTGAATTTACTATTGAATATTTCATTGCGATAACAAAATTATTATTAATAATATAATATTTTGTAACACTAATTATAAAAAGTTATCATTGCTAAGAATAATTCAAATAATTAAATATAATCATAATCTAAAACTTTATTGATGTAAATTGATATTAACCCAGTTATGAGTTATGTATTACAATCTTTTATTAACTTAAACATTTGAACAATTGTATTATTTATTACAAATTAATGTAATGTATAAAAGTTATTAAAATTTTTTATAGTAAAGTTTAAGTTATGAAGCCATAATAGTTATGATATTTTAAAGATACTTTCTTATATTTAATTTTTTGGATTATATTATTTTATTATTAGCAGAATTTTTTGGTCTTAATAATTTAAAGGGGGAAAAATTCTTTATTTTCCAGATATGTAAAGCTTTAGAATCTGAATCAAGTCTTCAGTTAACAAATTTAAATTTTAATATTCCTAATTTAAAAGGATATCATCAAGGAAATGTATCATTAACAAGGAAATATGTTCTTCCTTTCATTAAAGATGTTATAAAGAATATGTCAAATATATGTTCTGTTAAAAATACAGGTATTTAAAAAATTATCTTATTAAGAAAATATGCTATCATTAATTTTATTTGATACAAATTTTAAACTATCCAAAATTCAAATAAGGTTTTTTATCTTTTATAACTTTAGTTAATTTGATTTGAAAAAAATTATGTTTATTGGAATATACTGTAATTATAATAAAATGTTATTTTAATGAATGACAATATAATGAAATTTTCAATATATTTTCAGTTCTTTGCCAATGTATTATGCATCTTAACATAAAAATTAAGATGTGTAAAAAATGTAGTTATTATATATTCCAAAGTTGGCGTGAAGTGTAATTTATTTAACATAAAAATACTTCAGTTGAACAAATCACAGTAATGTAAATTTTAGTTTAACAAAATAAAAGTTTAACCTTGTATGAGATGAAGTGAAAGTGATTATTATAATGAAATCTATAAATAAATTTTTCTTTTACTGTCAATAATGTTTTGACATTAATCTTGCAATACAAATTTTAGTCATAATTGTTGATTTAGTTTGTAGTGTCATTTTTGTATAATTATTCATAATAATTAAAATAATCCACATTGCAATATTTGAAGTAAAGATTAAATTATGATTACTATTTCTGATGTAGTCAACATGATGTAAAATCTGTGCAGTTTTCTAATAAAACAAAGAAATGTGTCAGGCATATTGGAATACTGTGACACAGTTCAGGAATTTATGGAAAAGACTTTGATTATACATACAATGCAATAAAAAACAAGAATTTATTTATTGTGACATTGTCACAATGCCAGATTAATCACCTTTTAATTTTAAAAAATTACATCACTTCCAGTCCAGACTGGAAGTTTGTATATAGTTAATCAAATCTCTGACCTCTAAGCTTTCCATATATGGTCTTGATTTTCATCTGTCTAATCCTTTGTTGTCTATCTAATCCGTATCTAATCTCTGTTCACAAAATTAACAAAGGACAAACAGACAAATGACAATAGGAATGTATAGGTCTACAATTTAAAAATTGCAGTCCAATTTCTTTCAGCAATAAATAACAACTGTTATTTAAAGGAGTATGTGATTATCAATGATATCACTTCATGCATTAACTGTTTGTTCGAGACAGTGATGATTATAAGCTTTTAATTTCAAGCATACATGGCCAGATGGTCAAGGCAATAAATTCTACGCTGCTGCTTTGAGGATCTGAATTCAAGTGTAGATTTGCTCAGAATTTTTCAGGGATGGATTGACTTGGATATGTCAGCCTCCTGCCTCAACAACCAACCATCCCATTGTGTCAATCCAGTAGGTCAAATGGCCTAGGAGTAGGCCATTTGACCAATTGCTACAAAACTCAGTAGTTACATTCAAATACTTCTAACTTAGATCATGTCATACATCTCACCCCAAAATATCGATTGTATTTCTATAAAGCAATTAATTTTTATTTACAGTTGATTTTCTGATTTACACATAGTGTCATCTATTGACAAAAAAAGTTAACAAAATAATTAACTAAATATAATTCTTACAAAAAAAGGATATAATTTTTTAAAATATATATTATATTCACTGAATTACTGCGACAATGATATAGTGTGAAATAGATGCACCATTACACCATTACTGCGACAGGTAGCACATAGCACTTGCTTGTGTGGAGTTTAGTAGTGCTTTGCCCTCTACATCATATTTTTCCTGTTAGCAATAGTCATGCTGGTTATATATCTGACTCTGTTCAGGGGGGAATTTTTGTATTGAAATAACATAGTTTGAGGTATGAATCAAAATTCATATAAGATAATCTGGTCCTTTTCTCTTATAATTTCCATGTCTGGTCTTGACTTTCGTCTATCTAACTCTGTTCTTGAGATTAAGGAAGGTCAGGTTTCATATTAATAATTTCATTGATCTTCTCACCAGATCTGAATTCTAAGATTTGTCAATGTCAGACAATTGCTAAATATTAGATAACTTTTGAAGAAACAAAGATTTTTTTTCATGCATTAGTAGCAAGTTATTGCTGTGTTGAATTTATGATAGTTTTTACTATATAGCAAGTGTTTAAAATTGCTAAATTTTATAGCTTAATTTAAATACACTTTAAGTCCAGTGTTTTTATATTTTAATGTATAATATGTAATGCATTTCTAAGAATGAACCAGTGATAGAGAAGATAATAAAGACTTTAATCTCTTTATCCATTTGTATTGAATTATGATTTCAATATACAGAAGGTCAGAAGGATGTATCTGACAATCATCCTTGTATACTTGTTCTACAAAATATTTATGTTGAGCATAATTATATCAATTAATTGTTTTGTATTTTCTTAATTTTTTTTAGTCAGTATAATTGCTGATCCATTAAAGAATTTTTTTATCAGTAGAAATTGCTTTATTCTTTTATTGCTTATGTTTTATTCTCTAAAATTATATTCAAGAGTTTTTTTTATAGGGATTTGCCTAGGACAGGATTGTGTAGCTTTGCAAACTATTTCTGATGAATGAGTTTTATACTTTGTCATGTTTTTGTATATTTTTTAAGTTTAAGTAAAGAGTATTTAAACTAATATGATAGATTGTATTGTCTGAACTAGTCATGTATCTTCACTTTCTGTTGTCATCAGCAGTTGTTATATCTTTTAAAATATGTTCTGTGATTTTATTACATCTTGATTTTGAATTGCAAGTATAACAATTTTTCACAAGGTAGGACAATGATGCTTCTTTATCAAACATAACTGCTGAAGTTTTTTGCAATATTTTTCATGTTATATTTTTCTATCTATATATTTTATATGATATTGAATATGACAATCTGCCAAGTTTCAGGATACAGATTTTCATTCTCAATTGCAAACAAACCACTTCAATGATTAGTTTGCAATTGTCAAGAATAACTGATTTGGTGTAATTATGAGAGTTGTTTTTAAAAGAAATAGTATACATTATCAGTGTTGTTTTATTTATATATATATTTTTTTTTTGTTTTTGATGGTTATGGTTAGTTGTTGTTAATTGTTAATGGATAAAATATTTCTTATTTTTCCTACAATTAATAAAAACTGTTATATAAATTTCCTATTTTGAGAGTTCTCAAGAATAATTTTTTCTTTGACAAAATCACAAAATTAGAGAAATGATACAATAGAAAATATGGATACACTTCTTCTAGAATATCAAAAAGACAAATGAAATTCTTATCTAAATAAAAATAAGGAAATTTTTAAAACATTCAGGAAATATGATTTAAAAATGGGAAAGTTGTAAATTTTTTGAGAATTTATTTAACAATAATAAATATTTAAAATAATTTGGTTTTTGTTGTATTAAATAGTGGAACAGAAAAAGAACAGTCAGACAATCGTCAAAATAAAAACAAATTCAGACCGTTAAATAATTTTGATGGCAATGATCCTCTAANTTATGCAAAGAATGTCTAATAAATTGTGCTCAGTTTTCACTTATATAGTATGTGTACAGTACTTATCTATTATATTGATATAAGTTTGTTCTGTTTTATTTTACAGTTAAGAAATATTTGTTAAATTTTCAAGTTTCAAAAATTGCAGCTGAAAATGATAGGAATATCAAAATGAATGTATTTAAAATAGAAATTTTTGGAAACTACAATGTATTAGTCCCAAAATACTGAAAATTAAAGATAGTTTGATACCAATTAAAACTATTTACTTCATTGAATATTACATTGAAAACTTGATTGAATAATTATGCAGAATATAATGGCTAATTCACTCAGAATATTTGGGAAAATTCTAGTAATTGTGATTTTATCTACATACATAAATTATTTTCAATGATAAATAACAAACATGACAAACTACAAATAACAAAGATGATTAAAAAAATAACAGATATGCAAAATTATTATTTTAGTCATCTTTTACCTGAAAACTTTGAAAATTTCCTTTATAAATTTATAATGATACGAACCTTTAGAAAAATAAACTATAAATATTTCTGTAAGAAAAATAATAAATATTTAAAATAATTAAATATTTATTTTTTTATTATGCAATTAATGATGATAGATTTTATTACAGATGAGGAGAATAAGAAACTTGTGTCTTCAAATAGCCTTTCTAAAGAAGGAAATATAAAAAATGGTACTTCATATCTTCTGGATGTTACTGGAGATCCAGTCAGTTCTCAAAGTTCCTCAAATCAAAATTCTTGTCCCTATACTCCTCAAAATAGTTATGTAGAAGATTCTTATGAACAGGATTCCGATCCTCTCACTTTACCTAGCTTTAATAATAGAGATATGATTGCAAAGATAGAGGAAAAAAGAAGTAAACTTGGAGGATTTGATGGTGATTCAGATTTTTCAGCTGCAAAGAGCATTCCATTTACACCAAAAAACAGTGAGATTAATATTTCAATGAAATGTCCTGCAGAACAAAATTCAGAATCAAGAGTAATTTTTGAACAGCTACAAGGAAAGAAAGATATTCTTAATCAATTTTTAGAAGAATCTAAATTAAAGAAACAAGAAAATATTGAAGATTCTGGTTACTCAGAATCATCTAATGGAAAAGAATTAATTANGAAAAAAATTTTTTGTTAGTAATTTTTATACAATAATAAATATCTGCATTAATATATATATATACAGATAAAGTTTTTTACGAATTACTCAGTTTTCAATTTGCTATTTATAATGCAAATAATAACAGTTAATTATAGTTTATCAGAAGGATATTAAAAAGATATTACATTCCCTTTACAAGTTTTAAATATCAACAAATTCAAAAAATTGCTCATTTAAATAGGATATAAAACATTTTAAAGTTTTTATTATTATTTTAATCAGAAAATAATCCAAAATTTAAGAAGAAAAATGCCGTTTGAATAATTTTTCCTATTTGTTTTAATAAGCCATAAACTTTAGTATTATAAAAGTTCAGAATGAATTCAAAATATTTTATAGTTCTTCACAAAATGCATAGATCTGAGTTAAAATCTCTAATGTTTTAAAATGAGATCTTATTTGAATTTTCAGGATATTAGATCTACATAGGAAAAAAAAGGAAAATATATTTTTTGGTAAAATATATGTATATGTTACAAATGTATTAATTTTTGTAAATATTATTTGTTTATAATTGGTAATAGTAGAATGCGAGTTAGCTAATTAGTTTATACAACAGATATTATATAAATAACCATATACGAGGTAATGGGGAATAAGGGGGGAGGAATAGTATCATATATAAAACGTATACAATCAGCTCGCTCTGTAGTAGCGCCCCCGCAATAAAAATATTCACCGTACACTGATCGAGAGGAGAAAAATCGACTGCAGCAGTTCGTATCGATCGACGCAGTCTCAGTAGTTAGAAGTGCCACTTCTCAGTCAAGTCCGTCATCCAGATTCGTGGAGAATCGCAAAAGATCCGTCGAAGGATTGACATGCCATCGATGCAGTCCGAAATCATGATTATACCGACACACAATATCCAAAGGTACGACAATTGACGTTTAAAATTGCATTTATAGGGCCATTTACTTGGCGGTTACGCAACGCCATTTTCAGTTATTATCTTTCCGAAAATTGATTTTTTTTTAAATATTTTCTCCTCTCTTAATCTGTCTTTTTATTCTCATTTGCTCAGATGTTTCGTTGGCCTCGATTTTTTTAGTCGATACAGCTGATTAAATTACCGTTGGTCCTACCTGCCGTTTCATTCGCTGTACGTTTTTAATTTAAAAGCGCCGTTCCGTATCCGTTTTCTGCGATAGTGATGCTATTTGCATTGTTATGTTTCAATTAGATCTTCCGCATCCTACGGATTTTCCTAATTTGCCTTTAATGATGTGTAGAATTCGTGTAGTATATCGATTTTCCTGGTTGCTATATATTTCTTGCTTTTTGGTTTGTAAACAGTTTCTGTTTACCGAGTCCGATATGTTAATTTTCCGTGAATTAATTTGAAAATTTTCGGAATTTACGTGCGAAAAACGGTAAATATTCAGTTCTTAATGCTTAATAATTACGAAACGGTCGCGTAATTTCTGTTTGAAATAATATTTCTACGTATTTGTACAGAAATTAAAATTTCCGAATACAGGAAATAAAGGAGTTTATTTTATTATTTTTATATTTTTGATTGGAGTGGGTAAAATTGAGAGCAGAGAAGAAAGAGAAACAACAGCTGAGACGTCTGTAACCATGACAACATCTTGTTTATTCCTTTGATTTGTATTACGCTTGCGTGGTCGTTCGATAGAATCTACAATAAATGTTTTCGCTCGAAGGAATTTGAAATTGCGCAGATTGCAATTTTTCCACGTGTTGGGGTATAAAATCCGCCGATTTATGCCAAATTTATGGAATAACGCGAAGAATTGAACGCCCTTAAACTGAATTCTTTATTGATCACGTCGACCCCGATTAAAGGAATGTGATTGTTAAATAGAATATGCGCAGTTGCGGAGATCAGATAATATTCTTCGCTGTTTTTTATGGTTTCTAATCCGTGTTTTATTTAAATTTTCGTAATGAAAGTAGTCTAATTAGTTGCTCAATGCATTGCTAATTAAAATACGTTATGGAAGTTTCTCATCTGAAACGGTAAAAAATTTTAGATAAATTCAAATTTTTGTAAATAAATGCAAATACAATCAAAACCTTAGAAAACAAAATCTCCTTTCCTTACTTGTATGTTTGTAGAATATAGATTTTATAGAAAACTGCTCTTACAGTTCTTTAGAAATTTGCCTGCTAGATTAAAACTGTTTTGAAAAGGAAACATTTCTTCTGTGTTCTTAAGTGTATTAAAAAATATTATAATTTGTCAAAATGAGGTAATAATAATTAGAGAAAATATTTTTACTTAGAAAGTATTAATTCTGTTGTTAACTGATTACATAATTTTATTTTTAGTTTAACAGTTAAATCAGATCTTATTAAAGATAAAGCTGAAATCGATGCTGGGATTAATTCGGGAAACATTTCACCAGATGACTCGGATACATTTAAAGACAGGTAAAAAAATAGAATAAGAAATAATTAAAATAACTATTATATTTAAAATAATTTGGTTTTTGTTGTATTAAATAGTGGAACAGAAAAAGAACAGTCAGACAATCGTCAAAATAAAAACAAATTCAGACCGTTAAATAATTTTGATGGCAATGATCCTCTAATAGCTGCTCACTACCTAGCAGAAACGGTTGATTTTCCCGATAGTCCTCAACATCTAAAACTACTGAAACGCAGGAGTAGAGAAGCACAGGTACATTTTTAACTTTAAATATTGTTCAGAATTTTATTGTTTATGATTTTGATGTATTCAGGGTATTACTGATGATGATGAAGATGAAGATGACACTTCCACTATTGCTGTCATCTCATTGTCAGATAAAGAGCACCAATTGAAATGTGGCAAGTGAATATTTAGTATAAAATTTATTTAATGAAATGGTTTAACTGTTTTGTAATTATCTATATTTGTAGATCGTCCCACAACATTAAATACAAATTGTTCTACCACACGAAGGAGAAAGATAACTGTCAATCCTGACGTCCTCAGTTCTGACATGAGAGACGAAGACCAAAAGTCTCTTTCCTCATTAAGTAACAAGAGTGACGTTGACATGTTTTCACCAGTAGATGATTTGGTCACTCCAGATGATATTGATACACCAGATGATTTAGATGATTTTACATTAGGTAGTAAATATTAAAAAGTGCTATAATAAATCATTATAAATATAGAGTGCAAACTTTTTAAAATTATTTTAAATAGGTAATGGTTATTCCGGAAGTGATCCTATTCCCGAATTATCTGCTACAGAAGAAATTATTGAAGAAAGAAACTGGAAAACATGTTTTGTAGGTGGTTCAGAACGAAAAATTGATATGAAAGTGATAGAACCTTATAAAAAAGTTTTATCACATGGAGGTATATACTATAAGATTAAAATATAAAATAAGACATTCATATTCTAAAAATAAAAAATACTATATATTTCTATGTAGGTTACTTTGGTCCAGATAGACATGCCATTATAGTTTTTGGAGCTTGTTACTTACCTGATAGAAGCCGTCATGATTATGATTACGTGATGGATAATTTATTCTTGTAAGAATTTTTTAATTATATTGGGAAAAAATTTTTTTCACTATTTTAAAAATTAATTTTCTCATCTCTAGATATGTGCTGACAACTCTGGATCAGCTTGTTGCTGAAGATTATATTTTAATATATTTTCACGGTGCTACACGACGTAGTAACATGCCAAGTTTTGGATGGTTGAAGCGTTGCTATCAGATGATTGACAGAAGGTGATGTTAAAATAATCATTTCTTTTCATTCATAAAAAATATTGACTACTTTTTTAATTTTCAGACTCAGGAAAAATCTAAAAGGATTGTATCTTGTCCACCCAACATTTTGGTTAAAAACTATAGTCATAATGACAAGACCATTCATAAGGTAAATCTGTTAAATTTTCTATAATGCTGGTCAGAAAAACAAATGATACAAACTTTACTTTTTTAAAGTTCCAAGTTTAGTAGAAAGTTACGTTTTATCAACAGTCTTCAAGAATTATCAGATTTAATTCCAATGGATCATGTTAGCATTCCAGATATTGTTAAAAAGTGAGTGTTTTTTAAATAGATATTGGAGAATGTGTGTCTAGTATTTTATTGTTTTGAGTTAAATATAATTTAATGTTTTCATAAAATTAATTAATGAGAGCAGATAGTTTTATATTCTAAAATTTTGACTAGAGAAATTTTAGATAAGATTAAGATCTCATATTTAATTAAGGCTCACATTCTATATAATTGGGGACTTGTAAACAATTTATTATAAATTGCAATTTTAGCAATACTTGAAATTATAAATGAAAGTTATTATTTTAAAGGTTTGATGAAGAGAAAAATCAAGATGCTTATTTTTAGAGGTAAGTAATATAATCTAAATTTTAAAAATTTCTTTAATTATAATAATAAAACTACGTGTTTTTTTCCATTATTTTAGGAACATTTATGTTATCTCATTGAGAAAAGTATTCATTTGTGATGAAAGTAACTATAGCTTAGCTGTCTAAATTATCTCATTTTGTTTATAATTCTCCATTAGAAGATCTTAGTTTTATATATATAAAATATACACATACATATGAGTGATATATATAGTATTTGTAAAATGCATAGATAGTTAAATTTAAAATTTTTCAACTGTGAAGAATTTTACTATTTTAGTTGAAGTACAACTAAATGCCAATGTTAAATTTTGGATGCAAAATCTGGTAATATTTCAGATATTTATTATATATATAAATCAATATATAAATATTTCATTCCAAAATCCACAACGTTGATGTTCTTCCTTTCAAGTGTGTTACCTACCTACATTGTTACCTTTAAGAAGCCATTTTACATCTTGTAATTCATGCTTTAATGTGCCATTTAGTTCTTTCAGACTATGTTATTTGTTTAGTGATATATTTATTAATATATAAACTGTAAACATTGTAATATAAAATTGTTGAAATCTTCCTATTTAAGAGAGAATATAAACGTTGCAATCAGATTACCTGTTGCTTCCGTCCTAGTTTTAGCTTGCTCATTTTCTTTCAATTCTTAGCTGGAAGTAAAAGTATGTTTGTTTATTTGTTTATATAAACTTATAAAAAATTTTTCAAATATTTGCCATATTATAGGCACGCACCAGAAATGTGATATTTGCCAGAAATTTTATTGTATCACAGTATGTGATAATCTTAAAGCATTCCAAAGAATTAAAATTTGTGCTCATTCCATGATCAAAGTGGCCTAATGCGTGCAATTCCATTTTTTTTAAGCAGCTCAAATACTAAAGTTTTGTAAGAAAATTGACAGATAAACAAATTTCAAATGCACAACTGAAATTGAAAAATAAAAATTCAAAAGTACCATTTTTGTTGTTATTTAGTTGAAAAAGCAATTTTTAATTGAAATCAAGAAATGTATTTTGTTTTTTCAGTAGTAAGAAACAAAACTGCATCTTTATATAGCAATTTCCTTGAATTGCAATGTGTTATTCCTGCCATATATTAAAAAATGTGTACAGTTGTCTGTTATGTACATTGCTTTGCTAAGAATCAGAAATAAAACTTCAAAAATGATTTTACTCTTTTGTATTGTTTTTAATAATCAAAGATCACATGTTAAATTAACATTGCAAACATTATTAAATTGCTATTTACAAAAATAGTATTGTAAAACTATTACCAAAGTAAAATATTACTTTGGATAAAATATAACCATAATCTAATTTTGGCAGTGTTTTGAGTTAATAATAAACAAATATTTTTTGTACATTTTTACAATAACAATTTAGTTATTAAAATACTTTCTATACATATTTTTACTTCAAAACAATATATAATTTTCTATGTACAGTGTTTGATTGGTTATTTACACATACTTATTGCATTATTTGTAAATAGAATAAACATTACTTATACTAATTGTTTAAATAAATTGAGGAGGAGATCAAAAGTAGTGAAACTAATGCCAACTGCTATTGGACCTTTAACCCAATTCAAACTGAGTCCTTTATACAAACCAATTAGGCCCTCTTCTCTGATTATCCTTTTTAGTGTTCCCAATATTGTTCGGTATGGCGTTCCAGTCACTTGAGATGTTTGCATGCGTCGTCTCACTATATCCAATGGATAGGAACTAGACTGACCAAGAAGTCCTGCAATGGCACCAAATATCATTCGATAGAAAGGATTGGGTGGTGCACCATTGGAATATTCTGTAAAAAGAATGTTAGGCTAAATATTACACTATTTTGTTATTAAGAATTATATAAGAACATACCTGAATGTAATCTTTTTAACGTTTCATAAGTGAAAAAACTAGTTCCAGCATACGGTATAACACCTATAATTGTTGGTGCATAACCACGATACAAATGAATTGGACCTTCTTGTTGCCAGATTTTAACAAAGACTTGAAACAGACTGTTATATCTGAAAAATAATTTATAAAATTTTCACATTTATTTAAATTTCTTGAATTAAAAACAGTTTAGCTTACTGTTCCTTTTGAGTTACTGCTAATCTTGCTCTAGCCAAATCCAGTGGATAAGTGAAAGTACTCGAAGTTATTCCTGCTAATGATCCAGCCAAAAAAGTTTTTCCAGGATTCTCTTTTCTTTCAAAATAAAGTACTTGATGTGAATCATTTAAAAACATAACTGAGTAATAAATTATGTATCTTACCTTCCCTCATTAGTGTGAACTTTTAATATCCATTTCCACTGCTCATGTGCCGAATATTGAATTGCAGCATATGGAATAATACGAGCCATAGTAGCCGAATTACCACGCCAAAGACTAGCAAATCCATTGCTTTTATAAGAATCGATTAAAAATAATGTTGCTTGACGAAAAGAAAACTGCATCTTTTGTACTAAAGAATGGCAACAAGTAATGATTCCATTTGAAAAATAAACTGTATACTATGAAAAAAACTTACTCTGAAAATTTATTTTTGTGCGATCTAATGGAGCAATTGCAGTTTTAGCTAATGCTCCAGCTACTGCACCTGCAGTCATTGATAAAAATACTCTCTTGGTAGTTGATAACTACAATAAAGTGCAATAATGAATAAAATTTTCCTCTACATAAATAAAGTCTTGAATTACCTGCTTTTCTGTAATTTTGTCATCTTTCTTTTCTTCATTCATGATAAAATTTAAATTTGGTGTCTTTTCAGATAAATGATTTCTGGAAAAAGAAATCTGTTCAGAATATAGAGTACCATTTAGAAAGTTTGCTTAAAAAGAAAAAAAATTAGTGCACCTTTGATCCACAGAAGCCACAATCATAATGTTTGTGTTTTCATGGTAATTGATTCTTGGTGTTTAACATAGCATACAAAAATCATTTCAGCTAAAAAATGAAAATTTAATGTCAGATAATAAAAATTCTCATTCTTTTTTAAACAAATTAAAATTCATTATTATTTCAATGAAAAGTTTGTAGCATTTATAAACTAATTCTAATACATGTATTAGGTACCAAAAATATATATTTTTTTTATGAATTTTTTAAAAATAGAAAATCAAGGTGAATGAAATTGTTTTGGCAGCAAGTTATTACCATCTGGTGAGACAGATTTGTATAAAAATAATAAAAGTAAATAAATTCTAAATTAAAAACAGATTTAAATAAAATTTCCAAAATGATAAAGAAAATTTATTTCCAAATATAATTACTTGAATCAAAACCACTATTAAAGGTTTTAGATAAAAATAAGAAATACAAATTAAAACATGATTGTATAAGAATACAATAAAATAATCATCTAAATTGAATGAATAGATGAATGTACATAAACATAGTTTCATTTATTTTAGACCCCATGGACTTACAACTCTAATTTATTGTAATCAATTACAAGAATTCACATTAGGATGAATTTGAAAGTGCAAAGTGACTATGTTAACAATCTAAAATATCAGATACTGAATTATCAAAAACTAAAGACATTCTTTATTCTAGTGTCTTAATGGATACTTTCGTTTTGGATTAATTTATTAAAATTATTTGCAGTTTTTACAACTTTGACAGTATATATAAATTTACATCTCTTGCATATAATTTAAATATGCAGTAAATTCTTAATAGTTATGTCTTAGTAAGAGCATATTAAGTCAACACAAATATAAAATTGTTTCCTAATTAATATATAATGATCAAATGCAATAAATGTTATTCTTGATAAAAAATAAATTTAATCAGCTGAAAGAGTTTTAACTTGTAACATATAATTTATATACTTTGAATAAAATTATTCAAAGTATATAAAAGGACATTCAAATTGGAAATTTCTAAGCAAAGAACACCGATTTATAAATTATTACACAGTATTAATACACAGTACACATAAATTATTACGATTTATATATTATTATACAGTGACATTGCCTCAAAAAATTTTTTTCAATAAAAACCTTAATATCTTATTTAAAATTTCCTTGTCCTTACAGCAAAATTGGCAAGGAGATTTCTTTGATGAAAAATACATTAACAAAGTTACAACAAAAATAAATATTAAATAATAATAAAATCAAGAAATGAAGTCAAAAATTGAATTTTATTAAGAAATAGATAGTAGTAAATTAAAGATATGGATTTTGGGACAACTCTACAGAATTACTGCCTTATGTGATGATAAACTTCAGCATATTAATTAAGAAAGTCAATTTATTAGAACAAAACATCATCAAATTGATGAATTAATGTGACTTTTATTGTATAAACAATCTTGGTTGTAGAGGTTGATTCTGTAGGTAAACTTTTCTTGGCACCGTTTTATACATATGCACATGTTAACATGTAAAGTATGCACCAAGGAGTTTGTGAAAACGTTTTCTTGCGTGCACTATAAAGCAATATCATATAAAATCGAATTGCAAATTGCATTTAATTTCCATTTATAACCAGGATAAAAAAAGTTGGCCAAATTTAATTACGAGTAATTTCAAAATATTTTTTCCTCGCTCATTATTTTGTTTATTCACTAAAAAGAAATGAGATAACAATTAGAAATTTTCTAGTTGTAATGTCATCAAATATCGAAAACGTTTTTGAATATTTGTAATGAAATATATTTCGAAATAAGTCAGGTGATTTAATGTCTGAAAACAGCAAAATTTTATATGATAAATCTAATTCTATGATTTTATTGTAAAAACTTACAAACGAATACAAGTTCTAATCTGCAAACGTTTCGGTGATTATTTAATAAATTAACTTTACGAAACTCGTGCAATTCGTCTTTCCTCCTCCGGCAAATAATCCATTCCAACCCCGACCTTTCACTCCTTTTAATATTCAAATTACCAGACGCCCTCTGGTGGCAGAGAAGTTATTCCATTCAAATAGCTTCACTGTTTCAAGAATATGATGGTTTAAATTACTAAAAATCTCTTCGATTATTACTTTACAGATTTCAAAAAAAAAAAAAAAGAAAAATAAAATTTTATATTCTAGTATTACTATTTAATTTTTTTAACTAAATTATTGGGGTGCTGTCTAATGAAGTGCCCATTGATTACATTGCAAGTTACCAATAAAATCTTTTGCGGAAATATTTGTGAATTGCATTTTGCGGTGATTTGCTTTGAAGCCGAAATCAGTGTGCTATCCAGCTTACTGACAGCGACTTGTCTACATCTATCTGTTCTTTATTATATACAGAATAGGGTAGGGCAAAAATCTATTTCCAGTTCGTTAAGGTATTACGTATGAATTACATCTACGTTTTATACATCACTTTAAAGCTTTTTTCGTGTAGATTAACTTTATGGCGTCTATTTTGGTGTTTAATTTCAATGTCAAATAATTAGAAGCAAAAATATTACCAATTTCGCTCTGTGGCGCGCCTCCCCGTCATTCAGACTATAGAGAGGTTTTCAATTGACATCACGAGGATGAGCAATTGTCCTACGCCATCTTTGTGGTTTGTTTACGTTTTATTTGTGTTTATGCACGCTTTAGCTGGAGTTCTTATGTTGTTTATTCGTCGCGAATATCACTATAGTGGATTGTTGTGTAATTGGGTATAATGCTAGTTCACTGGAAAACAAAGGAACGTCATTTTTTTAAAATTTCCGTCATTATTTGTCATCGATGATCCCAAACTGAGGAACTTTCACCACCAAGACAATTTGCATGACTTTCGAGAATTAAACAGAAAAATTTCAATACGGATAAAGTGAATATCTATACAAGAGTTTGTCAGAAGCATTTCATTTCAGGTAAGCAGTAACATTTGATTACTATTTATCAATAAATGATTAGATAAACTTTTGCATGAGTATCATAAAGTGTGTACATGCCGATTGCATAAATCCTTTTGTTAATACCGACAAAATAAAGTTAAATAATTTTAACAACTGCAGATTTTAGCTTGAATAGATAATAATTATGTTCTAACTTTATTTTTTCACCTTTCAGTTTGTTTTCTTAGTCTCTGTTTGTAATAAATATACTGTAAGGTCTCGTTTTATGCGGTGGATACGTTCTACAGAAAAGCGCATAAAAAAATTCGCATAAAAAAAGACTTTACTTGCCTTGAAAAAGTAGGGATACGTTCCGTAATTTTCTAAAATCGCATAAAACCAAAACAACGAGTTAAAATTAACTTAAAACCGCATAAAAAAAGTTTGCAGATATTAAAAGAAATAGGCTGCTTAATGAATTACTTCGAATGTCTGAAAGAAATTCATATAAAAGCTTAAAATAAACTTGTATTCAAACTTAATTCAGTTTATTTTATTGAAAAGTAATATAGTTTTACATTTTTTTAATCATTATGGCTATCTGATAATGGTTTGCACCGTTTGCGAAGTTGTTCCAAATCACCTTCATCATCAGAAGAGACTGTCTCTGCAATAGATATTTGCGGTAAAGGCGATGGATTTTCACAAACTTCATTCTCGTTCTGTGTAGCTCTTTCTTTTCTGACAATGTAATCAGTAATTAAACTTTGCGATGACGATTCTACTAATTTACGGCCAGCTAGTGTTCACCCTACTTTAAACCCTTGTCCTCCCACGACGTCTATGAGAATGCCCCGGGAAATCCAACTCCAGATGTGTTCAAGGTCATCCAGATGTGTAAACAATGACTCATCGGTGTTAAATTTCACAGAAGGGCGAGACAAAGGAAGTTAAACTTTGAAGCTTTTTCTTCAAAATTAACGCATTTCTTTCGTTTTTTTTAGTTTTAAGTATTTTTTATGTTTAATTACATTTATATCAAAAATTGCTAGGAACTAAAGCGATTAAGGTAGATCTAGCTGTCCTTTACATCCATAAAGGTTATATGTCAGTGGAACAAATGGAGTGAGCTTTCAGCGTCCCACGATTTTTGGAGACTGTCTATACGCGGGCTTCCTAAACAAGCCTATATGTATGTTTGTCCAAAAAAATTTTGGATGAAATACAAACCGCACAACTTCAAAATCGCATAAAAAATCCGCATAAAACGAGACCTTACAGTACTGTACAGTAGAGTTAATATTAAAGCGTTAAGCAAAGATGATCGCTTAGCGGATGAAGAATTAGAAATGAATTTTTAACCAATTGTCCTTCCAGTCTAATTTACATAAATAAAAGTGTGTGTATTTTTTAAGATATAAACCAATAATTTGTATTGTTCATTTACAAATAGCTAAGTTAGGTTATCTTGGTAAGCAACATTAACATTTCTTTAATTAAGATGTTACTTTAGTAACAAATAACACTACGTAGTAACCCTCAAGTTGTTCCTGACAAATTCTTATTTATTATTTATATATAACATACCATAATGGTAAGTTCTTTTTATTAATAATATATTATTGAAAAAGTTTTTTTAACTCCAAAGGAAAACCTTCCTCATTTTATGATTAGTCATCACTAGACTAGGTGGCAACATTATACATGGAATATGAGAGTTATACTCCGTGTATAATGTTGGCACCTAGTCTGGTGATGACTCATCATAAAATGAGGAAGGTTTTTCTTTGAGAGTGGCCACTACCTAATTGCATATCATGAGCGTTATGAAAGAGCACGTAGTCAGGAGAAACATGGCCACTTGTAAGACATTTATGGGCCTCTAAAGATTTGTAAGCTTTCATTTGTAAAATAGTATAGTAATTTGTTGTCAAAACCAAATAATTTATGGTGTTACCAAATTCTACTTTAGGCCACGACTCTTGATCTACAAGGAAGATGCTGGCTTCGTATGGATCGACACATTGATATAATGAAACTTTCTCTTCATATAAAGCAGAATGTTGTTGTCCTGTCAAACTGGGAGAATAACCCGCTAGAAAATCATCTTTTTTAACTTTATCCATGATATAAAAATACTGCAGTTCTGTTAAATTTAAATTGGAAAAAAGCGTTGCCAGCGTGTCGACACAACAAACCACGTGCAAGCTAAGCAAACGGAAACTAGACCACAAACATGGCGAAGGAGCGGGACAAACGTGCGTTTTATCACGTGATATGCGACCTTGAAAACTCTCTATTGAACTTACTTTCCTCCAGTATAAAAATGCTTTTGAAAATAGTTCCGAGTCGAAATTATTTCGTTCATTTCTGATTATTTTTTATTTTGTGTCATTAATGGAAAGATTATTGTAGATTAAATTTTCATCTGGAGGTCTGACACGATTTTCTCGAATTAAGTGGCACATAAAGAACTCTTGCAAGTTAACGAGAAAGAAAATAAAAACTGCGTTAGATTAAATGCCGTTTACTTCATTTGCATGCAGAAGTGAATACATAACTGCGAGGTTATTTACACAAAAAGTGCTGCATTCTGAGAAATTTTATGTAAATGGTTATTTGATTCTTTATTTTCCGTATTGTAATTTAACAGCAATTTTACAGTAAATATTACGCTGGATACAATTTTCAGATTCTAAGAAGCGTTATTTAACACCGCTACGATGACTATTTATTACATTAGATTTATCTCCAGGCTTGCTGGAGGAAAATATAACAAAACAAGTATCGCAACCTGTCCTGATTTTTCAACTTTCCCAAGAACTGTACTTGTTATAAACTTGTATAGATCAAGTTTCGGGAAGCAACCATAGAGTCAACACAGGCAGAATTCTGTTCTGAGGTTTCGTGGAAATATTTTACGTCGTCGTGTGGATGGAACCCCTTATCCAGGAGAAATCATAACTCTGAGAACATTGAATTTAAGACCATGAGGATAATTGGAAAAAACCAGTTTATTTAGCCTACGATGGACTAAAATATGGTATTCTGTGTCAGATTCAATTATGCCCCGTATTCCGCCTCCCAAAAAAAATTTCTACCATACAGAACGTGTTCGGAGTTAACACAGAATAGTGGAAACAAACAAAAAATGGAACTGTGAAAATAGGACAATTCTTCACATGTCATTAATTATAAATAACGACTAAAAAATATTCTTATTTTGAGTAAACCTAACTATAGACAGTTTATTCTAACCTTAGGCACCTCTTCCGCGAGAAATAGTTTCCTCTAAAACTTAAAATTCAACAATGACATGTTTCAAAATTATTTAATCGTTAGTGGTAGTAATTAAAGGAATGAAACTTGCAAATAGAGAAAAGGATATACATATTTAATATTTTTGTATTTTAATTGTTTTCAACGATTGGTTGAACAGCAATACGCCCCGCCTTGTTCGTTTTTCACAGTTAATATGGCCGACGTTAGCGATACGAGTGAAGGATTTACTTGATATTAATTTGAAATATTTATTCATCTGGACAATTAATTAATCTCTTAAGTAAACATCGAAGAAGTTTTACGTTATTTCACTAAGTTTTCGACCTATCATGTTATAAAAATGAGAAACCGCGAAAGGATATAATTTATTTAATTTAAAATATATGCTTTCCGCCTCAAATTAGTAGTGGCTTTCCCCTGTACAGTACATCATACTTTTTCCTGTTGGCAATAGAGTCGTGCCGGTCATCTAATTCCTTTCCGAGAGAATTTTTGAATTGAAATAACATGACTTCCAGTTTACATTGGAAGTCCTGACTATATAATATAGTTAATCGGGGCCTCCTACTAGGGTTTCTCTAACGGGATTCCGGCTGTTTTTTTAACCCGGGAAATTCTTCTCATCCCGGAAAATCCCGCAAATTTCTTAAAAATTCACTTTTTTCTTATTTTGTGTCAAGGTTGAGCAAATTTTGCAAATAGAAAGTATAATTAACTCATAAACTGTCAGAATACATTTGTATTTATTAATTTTAACTCCGCTTATTAGTTTTTTAAATTTTCGCTTGTTATGTCATGTCACTGATTGTTAATAATCAATACGTAACCTAT